CTGATATCATCCTAAATGGAGAAAAACTGGAAGCATTCCCATTGAAATCAGGAACGACACAAGGCTGCCCACTATCTCCACTCCTCTTTAACATAGTGCTTGAAACTCTTGCAAGAGCAATAAGACAAGAGAAGGAAATTAAAGGAGCAATGATTGGAAAAGAAGAGATCATATTATCCCTTTTTGCAGACAATATGCTATTATGTTTAAGAGATGCCAAAAATTCCACCAGAAAACTCCTAGAAATTATTAACACATTCAATAAAAGTGGCAGGCAAATAAAACCTACAAAAGTCTGTACCAATAACAAGCAATTGGGCAAAGAATACAGGGAAACTCTCCCATTCACAATACACTCAAAAAAAATTGTAATAAACCTAACCAAAGACATGAAAGACTTCTACAACGAAATTTTTAAATCTTTAACGAAAGTGATTGAGGAAGACATCAGAAGATGGAAGGAATTCTCATACTCATTGATTAGAGGAATTAATATTGTAAAAATGACCATCCTTCCTACCAAAAGCCATTTATAGATTCAATGCAATGCCAATCAAAATCCCCATGACATTTTTTACAGAATTTGAAAAAAAACATCCTAAGATTCATACGGAAGCATAACAGACTTTGGATAGCCAAAGCACCTCTGAGCACTAAGAACAATTCTGGGGGGAATTACTATACCAGATTTTAAACTGTATTACAGAGCTATAGTCATAAAAACAACATGGTACAGGCACAGAAATAGACCAATAGATCAATGGAACAAAATTGAAGACCCAAATATGAGAACATGCAATTTCAGCCACCTGATATTTGACAAAGGGGCCAAGAATATTCACTGGAGGAAAGACAGCATGTTCAGCAAATGATGCTGGCAAAACTGGATCTCCACCTGCAGAAGAATGAAACTAAACCCCTATCTCACCCTGCACAAAAGTCAATTCCAAATGGATCAAAGACCTCAATGTAAAGCCTGAAACTCTGAAACTGTTAGAAGAAAACAGTGGCAATAACCTACAAGATATAGGTGTAGGAAAGGATTTTCTAAACTGGACATCAACTGCTCAAGAAACAAGGTCAAGATTCAACAAATGGGACCTCATTAAACTGAAAAGCTTCTGTACATTAATAGAAATAACCAAGGAAGTGAAGAGAAAACCCACAGAATGGGAGAAAATCTTCACCAGCAACACATCTGCCAGAGGTTTACCATCTAGGATATATAACGAACTCAAAAAACAGAGAATAAAGGAAGTGACCTAATTAGAAGATGGGCTAAGGAGCTGAACAGAGAGTTCTCAAAAGAAGAAATAAAGATGTCTAAGAAGCAACTTTAATGGTGTTCAACATCATTAGTAATTAGGGAAATGCAAATTTAAACCACTTTAAGATTTCATCTTACCCCAGTCAGACTGGCTAAGATCAAGAGAACAAATGATACCAAATGTTGGAGAGGATATGGGGAAAGGAGAATGGTCATCCACTGCTGGTGGGATTCAAAACTTGTACAACCCCTATGGAAAGCAGTGTGGAGAACTCTTAAAAAACTACAAATGAAGTTACCATTTGACCCAGTCATACTGCTCCTTGGCATATGTCCAAGGAACTCATCCTATTGCAGAGACATCTGTACATCCATGTTTGTTGCTGCTCTTTTCACAATAGCTAAGAGATGGAAGCAACCTAAGTGTCCCTCAACTGGACAATA